ATCACTCATTTAATTTTTTAATTTTTTTAATTTTTTAATTTTTAAATTTTTTAATTTTTTAAATTTTTAAATTTTTAAATTTTTTAAATTTTTTAAATTTTTAATTTTTTTAAATTTTTAATTTTTTTAATTTTTTTAATTTTTTTAATTTATTTTTTTTGAAATCTGACGTGGCATGCTGACGTGGCAAAATTTTCTACGTGACCTTCCACGTCAACTGCCATGTGACCTTCCACATCAGCAATTAACGGACATTTTAACACCGTTTCAGATTGTGTAGTAAATTGCATTAAAATTGGGTCATTCGTGTATAAATTTGGGACATTTGACAATATAATATAGGTTTTTGTCAAATTAAAAATTCGTGTAGGAAAAGGTCACATTTTACTAAATTGGTGTAGAAAAATGTTATTTTTCCTAATAATAATAATAATAATAATATATAGGTAACACAACATGCATGTATCTTTTCCATTTCCTCACATATACATATTAAATAAAGCTCGCCCTCGAGCCCTGGGCAGAATCAAATTTGCCGATCTGTTATCGAGCCATCTTATTTTTTAATTAAGTCCACCAACTTTTTCTACTTACCTTCCATCCAATTTAGTCTGCCCTTTTTTCAATTGGGAAGGTTACCTGATATATGGCGAAGAGATATGAGAAAGAACAAAAACAATGCAGCTCTCAAGTTATATTTTCTTGACGAAAGCATTATTTCCTTCATTCGTGTTGTTGCAACGAAACCAAAACGAGAGAGGATAAAACTTCTTATTGATGTTGCGTATGTTTTGAAATGTCGTCACCTTGTATATTGATTCATTATATGGTTGATAGATTATGTCTTATTATATAATGCTTATTATAATAAGATTCAGATAGATTTGGAATATCTTTCTATATATGATAGGTTTCTAATTTCATGTCTTAACTGACTATTATGTTTTTTTTTTAAATTTTCTTGACCGACTTCCATGTTAAGGAGCTGTTTTTTCTAACAATAGCATACAATGAGAAAATAATGTACGTTCATATTTCAGATATAATATGTTTATATATTTATGGGAAAACACATGGCTATATATGTTATGAATATATATAAAGAAGGTTATTCTACCAATCACATGCAATGAGAAAATGTATATTCATCTTGTCATGTATACTTTATGGAAGAACACATGGTTATATATGTTATGAAACCATGTAAAAAAGCAGATTATTCTAACAATATCATGCAATGAAAATGTACATTCTATATTAGTTATTCTCTCTGTTTTATAATCTTTGACGTTTTATATTTTGTTTTACTAACAGTCTTTTAGCAACGAAAATTTGTCGAAATTTTTCGTTATAAACCTACAAATTTTCATTGCAAAATAGGGTTTGCAACGAAATTGTAACGAAAAAATTTCCATTGCTAACATGTCGTTGCAAACCAATATAACGTTTCAATTCGTTGTAAATTGCAACGCTTTACAACGAAATTGCGTTGCAAAATTAGCAACGCAATTTTGTTATTATTTTCAAACATTCTTTGCTATATCCAAAGAAGATCATGCAATCCGCGATCATCTTCAGATCCGCCATGGCATTTGTATCTTCACCCCCTCTCTTGCCGTCCAATCTCGATTCATCGCAAACCGAGAAATCAAATTTTACATCCGACTCAGAGTCTGAAACGCTTTGACGCGAACTCATACGAGTGCTCGACCTCGAATCTCCCAAAGAACGGACATAGACGGGTTCCAGATCCAAGGACCGCCGAGTCGATTTCAAAATCCGATAAAACTCCTTCTCCATGTGCTTCATTGCGATCGATACTCTTCAAGCTCAGTGCACGAACAAGGCATCTCGGATCTGAGATTCACCTTTACCAACCTCTGTACCCCGCATTGCAAGCCGGTTACAGCTTCGATGAGGCGCTTTGCTTCTTCCTGGTTTTTTGTGGAGAAATGCGAAGAGAGGCTGCTGTAGAAGGAAGGGTCATGAAGTTCGGGAGAAGTCCACCTGCTTATAATAGCTTCGGAGTCTTGGATGCGGGCCCCCATTAGAGAGTTGCAGATGATCCGGCGCGAGCAATCATTACTACCCTCTCCCAGGGTCATTGAATGGCTGGTGTTGTTTAAAGATGCCGATCACGTGACTATTGGATATTGACTCAGACTTTCGACCATGTTTAAGCAGGTTCGGTTTGACAATTTGTCAGGTCTCAGAGTGAGAGCGAGTGGATCACATCAAGAAAAAAAGTTGGTAGATTGAATAAAAAGGTTTTCATTCCTTGAGATGGCTTTCAAGAAGAGCTCGCTGCAATGCACCCCCTCCTTAAATTGTTTTGTTTCCTTTGTGTTTTCTCTCTCTTTGATTTGGGTTTGCACGGAGGGATATCTATAGCCAGGGAAATACAAATCGTACTCCCCCACACACGCGCGCACACACACATATACTATTAACGCAAGCTTATTTGTTGATAGTCTACTTACTAATTACACCACCACCATTCACTATTTGGTAAATGATTTATTCCACAATCTCATTCTTGCGTCCTGCACACACACATATACTATTAGTGTTTTTATTTTTTTTATTGTTGTTATGTTGGTTTATGGTTTTTATTTTGTTAAATGTGAATATGTGATAAAATAAAGGGAAAATCCTAAAAATTCCTAAACTTATAATTTGGAGTAATATTAATTCCTAAACTTGTAGAGGTGGCTATTAATTCTCAAACTTGCAAAATTGAACACGTTAAATCCTGAACTTGTTAAACGGTTCCATAATCGTCCATAGCGTTATTTGGTCAAAAAAGGAGTTGACTGATCTGACGTGGCGCATGACATGGCGGTAATTTTCTAAGTTGGCTCGCCACGTCACGAAACGCCCATATTCTGAAATTTAAAATTAAATATAAATATGATAAGAGAGTGAAACTTATACCTCTTTCAAGAACTTAGCGTAGTTGCCAAGGAAAAGGGAGTTTCCCAGGGTTCATCTCTATCATTCCCCGGTAATACGCTTCGCTCTCGAAGAACTCTCCTCCTCCGCCGTTAGAGATGTTTCCTCCGCCGTCATCGCTCCCCTTTCCTCCACTACAACCGCCACCGTCCTCAATGCTCTCTTCTTCCACCACCTTCTCTCCCAGCCCTGAATTCGAAAGCAGCCTCTCCATTGAAAACGTCGACGTTTTCACCCAAGGCTCTTCTTCTTCGCCAGAGTCTTCGACTTCTGATATGGGTTTGCTCATACGTGGAGTAGTTCTTAAGGTGGTGGCGGTGTTTCTGGGCTTGGTCCTGTCTTTGTGGACGTTGAGTTCATGGTGAATGAGCTTTCGAGTGTTGTTATCCATGGAGTTCGATGTGTACATAGACACTGACGATTTGGTCATTTTGTGAAGCTGAGACTCTGCTTCCGGAGATGACGGCTCTCGAGAGGTAAAGCACTGGTGATGAGGAAGCCAAGAGTCAAGTATCGGAGCAGATGAGCTCCTCAGAAGCATTCTCTCTGTCTCTCTCTCTCTCTCGTGCTTTCGGTAATTAAAATCAATATGACGGTATATTTAAAAGGAATCTTATAACTGTAGGAAGATTTTTTTGGTGTAGCTGTGTAATGGCTCAAGCACCCACAGTTAGGAATTCAACCATCGGTTTATAGACCACAACATAACACAAACCAATTAAGTGATTAACTATAAAATTGAAAATGAATATTATTTTTTGTTTGTCGATGTTATATTACATGTTAAAGTAAGGAAATAGCATATTCAATATCTAGAAGGTTCGAGTTGACAAATGGAAGGTTGGAGTTGAATTTGGAAAGCGAACATGGAAAGAAGCAAGAAAAGGAAACATGACATTTATATCAATGAAGAAAAGGCAAGACAAATATGGAGAGGATATTATGAGAAGCACAAGAAGGAGTTTATAAGGGATGTAAGACTCCATTACAGAGGTTGGCGAGAATAAGATTTGAGAAAAGGTTTCTGTAATAGTGTCAAGAGTTCTTGTACGGGAAACACTGGTGAGAGTGATGTGAGAGAAAGTGAGGTATACTTGAGGGGGAGCCTTGAAACAACAGGTGAACCATTCGTTGGGCCTAGACGAGATCTGCGGTAACACGGGGTGTGCGCTGCACACAGTGTGTTTGGGGCTGGTAGAATTTCTTGTGATACGGGTTTCTGCTCAGGGGGAGTGGAACGAGTGAGAGTGAGTATTACTTGGAAAGCTTTGAAGTGTACTTGACTCTTATCAAAGAAATAGAACCAGTTTAGAAATTCTTATTTTGCAATATTGTGTGAGTGTATTTTTCAATTGGTATCAGAGCGGGTCACTGATCGCAGGAAAGTTTTCCTCTCATATCGGTGTACGATTCAGTTTCACACAATGGAAGGGTTCAAAGATCCACAATCGTTTGGAAAAACTACTATGCTTGACTCAACCAATTATGGGCATTGGAAAGTGAAGATCAGCTCCTATATTCGTGGCCTTGATGAAGATACGTGGAGTGTTGTCACTGATGGATGGACTCGACCAACTGATGTCATTGATGGAGCTATAGTAACGAAGCCAAAAAATCAATGGACAGCTCAAGAGAAGAAAGACTCGGCTATGAATCAGAAGGCTTTATCAATCATTTTCAGTAGTGTCAGTCCTGATGAATTCGAACAAATACAAGGATGTGAAACTGCGAAGGACGCCTGGGATACTCTGGAACTTATTCATGAAGGAACTTCCAAAGTAAAAAGGAACAGATTGGATATGATTGATCTACAGTTTGAACGGCTGAGGATGGGAGATGATGAGAGCGTGAAAGAATTCTGTGAGAAATTGAGTGCATTGTCAAATGAGGCAAGTGTACTTGGGAGAAAGATTACTAATGACAAGCTGGTGAAGAAACTTCTGAACAGCTTGCCAGCTAAGTATCATTCACATATTCTTGTCTTTGAAGGTGTAAACAACTTGGATACTGTTACATTCAAGGAAGCTGTAGGTACCTTCGCCGCACATGAACTGAGATTGCAACTAATGAATGGAGGACCATCTACTCATACAAAAAGAGGAGTGACATTACATGTTCTAGAAACAAAAATGGGTGAAGCAGAAATCAATGTGCCAGTGAAAAACAAGAAGTTAACTGAAGAAGAATTGCATGATCAAATGTCACTCTTTGTCAGGAATTTCAACAAGTTCTTCAAAGGGAGGAAGAAGGTTGGAAATCAAAACGATCGAGAGGCTGGAAAATGTTTGGTGTGTAAAGGTATAGGACATTGGAAGGCATAATGTCCAAGTATTGCAAAAAGAGAAAGTGTTCTGAAAAATCTCAAAGATACTCAGTGTTTTGAGTGCAAAGGGTTCGGTCACACGAAAGTAGAATGTCTCAAGCGCAAAGGAAAGTCTTTAATCACTCATGAGGAGGACATCTCGAATACTGAGAGTGACAGTGAGGAAGAGGACTTATCGAGTTTTGTGGCATTTCTAGGAGTGATAGAAGAAGAATCTGATCAAGTTGCAAACAGTGATGATGAGGAGATTACTGAAAAAGATCTCTTCAAAGATATGACCAAATTGGTGGATATGAACAAGCAACTCATAATTGAGAAACGACAGTTGGAGAAAGAACACAGTCAAGTCCAACAGCAACTGAGAGACACCAAACAGAAGTTGATTCAGAAAGAAGATGAGGCGTCCAATATGAAAATGTCAGTTGGAAGGAACCAAGAAGAATATTCATCTCCTTGGTAATGGAACTGGGAAGCTGGATCACTTACTTGGCATATGACGAAACTTTGGTGATCGTTCCGGACTTGGTTATCATGGTAAAGTACAAACTACTCCGAAGTTTGTGTTCGGAGGGAACCTGAATCAAGAAGCATCTTCCTCAATGTTCAGGGGATCCTTGTCACGACATTTCTCGAAGAACGCCACAAGACACATACGAACAGAAGATCGGATATGCTATCACTGCGGCAAGGAGGGACACATTCGAGAAACTGTTTCTATCTGCAAAGGAGCAAGAATGTCTACACGTATACATCACCACACTATCATTAACCTACTTGGAATCTCAGATGGGTTAAAAAATCGGATATCAGATGCAATGTTGCGTATACCACAGAGCAAAACAACATCACTGGGGTCTGGTACTTTGATAATGGATGCTCCAGACACATGACAGGATGTCAAGATCTGCTGAAAGACTTTGTAGAAACTCAGAAAGGAGGGAGTGTTACTTTCGGAGATGGTATACAAGGAAAAATACTGGGCAAAGGAACACTTGATCATGCTGGCCTCCCAAGATTGAATGATGTCAAGATTGTACAGGGTCTAAAAGCTAATCTTATCAGCATTAGTCAACTCTGCGATAATGGAATGCGAGTCAAGTTCACCAAGAAGGCATGTTTTGTGGCGGATACAGACAACAAGTGTGTTCTAACAGGGAAGAGAAATTCTAACAACTGCTATACTTGGGTGAGTACTCAGCGCACTATGCCTCAATAAACATGTCTCGTTGTGAAGAAAGATGAAATGGACTTGTGGCATCAAAGATTGGGGCATATCAACATGCGCACATTGGTCAAGCTTTCCAAGTCAGGTGTTGTTCGTGATCTTCCAACACTTTCTCACAATGATAAGTTTGTCTGCAAGGCTTGTCAACTTGGAAAACAAGTTCGAATACGGCATAAGAAGACTGAGGAAATACATACATCACACATACTAGAGCTTGTTCACATGGATCTGATGGGACCTATGCAGACCGAAAGTTTTGGTGGCAAAAGATATGTTCTGGTGTGTGTGGATGACTATTCGCGCTTTACATGGGTAAGGTTTCTGCGAGAGAAATCAGAGGCTTGTATAGCTTTTCAGCATTTAGTGCTTCAGTTGAAGAATGGAAAGGGAACTGTTCAACGTATTTGCAGTGACCATGGCAGAGAATTTGAGAATGTTATGTTACAACACTTCTGTGATACACATGGCATCTCTCATGAATACTCAGCTCCGAAAACATCTCAGCAAAATGGTGTCGTGAGAGAAAAAACAGAACGTTGCAGGAGATGGCACGGTCAATGTTACATGCTAAAGATGTAGCATCAAATTCTGGGCTGAAGCAATGAGTACAGCCTGTTACCTGATCAATCACATTTATCTTCGCCCTGGCATGTCGAAAACCCCGTATGAGATCTGGAAAGGTAGAGTTCCACCTCTTAAGTATATTCACATTTTTTGGTGCAAGTGTTATATCCTGAATGACAGATAATATTTGGGGAAAATGGATGCAAGAAGCGACGAAGGAATTTTTCTTGGGTATGCTCGAAATTCTGTAGCTTACAGAGTATTGAATCTACGTACCAAAACGGTCATGGAATCTGCAAATGTTGTTTTCGATGAAGATAATCTTCAAGAGCCTACTGCTGTATCACTTCCCCCTTTCCCTACTCAATTGGACCCAGATCATTTTCCTTCTAAGTCAGAATCAATTGACCAGGATGATTCAGAAGATGTTGTCTCTGACACAGAGCCTTTGACTGACTCTGTGCCACCAACGTCTACATCAATAGTTGTCCATCGCAATCACTCTCCAGGAGATGTCATCGGGGAGGTTCATGGTCCAAGGCAAATGAGAGGTAATACACGAATCAACTATAAAGACTTGGTTCGCTTTGTGTGTTTTACTTCTCAATTTGAGCCTAAGAAAGTCTGTGAGGCATTGCAAGATGAATTCTGGGTGAAAGCTATGCAAGAAGAATTGGAACAGTTTGTGCGCAATGATGTTTGGTACTTGATTCCTCGCTCTTCTCATACTAATGTAATTGGCACAAAGTGGGTGTTCAAGAATAAGTCGAATGAGCACGGAGAGATTGTCTGTAACAAGGCGCGTCTAGTTGCACAGGGATATACTCAGGTTGAGGGAATCGACTTTGATGAAACTTTTGCACCCGTGGCTCGCTTGGAATCTATCCGTCTACTTCTGGGTGTTGCTTGCAATTTGGGCTTTAAACTATATCAAATGGATGTTAAAAGTGCATTTCTCAATGGGGTACTTCAAGAGGAATTTTATGTGGAGCAACCAACTGGTTTCGAAGATCCTCACTTCCCAGATCATGTTTTTCGGTTGAAGAAGGCTCTGTATGGTCTCAAACATGCACCTCGGGCCTGGTATGAACGCTTGACTTCATTTTTAGTTGATCACGGGTACAAAAGAGGGGGAGTAGACCAGACTCTGTTTATCCACAATGAAGATGGAGACCTGATGGTGGTTCAAGTATATGTTGATGACATTGTGTTTGGCTCTGTCTCTCAGAAGAAAGTGGATGGATTTGTCAAGATGATGACTGATGAATTTGAAATGAGCATGTCTGGCGAATTGAGTTTCTTTCTCGGACTTCAAGTGAAGCAAACAGACGAGGGGATGTTTATCTCTCAAAGCAAATACGCTCGGAACCTAGTCAAAAGGTTCGAACTAAATGGGAGTAAGTCAGCAAAAACTCCAATGTTCACTACG